CCCCACCACCCCCCGCCCGCCCCTCCGGTAGGGCTCCGCGGGCCGGGCTGGAGCCGGGCCCGTGAGGCTCCCCCAGCCACGCTGCTCGCCAGCAGGCACCGACAGGTATTCTGCGATGTGAAGTCCCCGCTTTGGTTCAGGTTCGCTTTTAAGCTCCTCTGCGGCGAACTTAAGGTTCACAAGGGTCTGGTTGTCTTCACTGAACTTTTCCCTTTTATCGAATAGCTTTCTCTTTCATCTTCGTCTTTCAAAAAATGTCATGAAAGGGGGACACCACCGGCTTCAGACCTTTAGTGTGCTTATTGATGCTGTTCCATCTCTTTTGGGAAAAAAGCAAATATATGTCTATTTTTAAGCAGAGAACTGCAGCCGCGCTGCTTTATTTGCAAAAGCAGAGGAGCTGTTGGCGAAGAGAACAGCAGGCGGAGATCCTCTGGCACCTTTTCTGAAAGGACAACTGTACTACGAAGAGGTTGGGGTTTCCATCTTTTAAGTAAATATTATAAAGCTGACAATTTTCAATACCACTGAAAGAGAGAACTTAAAAAAAACTGCAAGAGGCGCCTATGCCTGGTTTGTCCCCATGAAAATCGCCAGGTGTTCTCCCTAAATATGTTTTTCCTACACTCTCCCCAAACATCTAGTGGTGTCTTCCAGGCCTCCTAAGGACCAGATAAGTAAGCAGCAGCCTATTCCTAGAGCTAACACCCAAGCCAGTTGGTTTTTGGCCAGGTGACTGGCCAAACACAACACACTGGTTGCAGTTAATGTGGTACTGGTCCCAGACCCAAGACACAGCTTTCAATATTTGTCCCCTACTTAGCCACCAGTTTTGATGAAATTTGTTGAAACATGTTATTTTGAGATTTCTGTCCCTGCCCACTTTGGCTAAAATTGCATCGCCCATGTATTTGAAAGTAAACGCTTGGGGAACGGTGTAAGACTGGCTGGCAGGTGAACATAAACCTCAATTTCTTGTGCAAATTAGAATAACTCAGTTCAGGAAGATGGAGAAGAATGTAGTACAAGTACTGACTCATGTATTTTCAAATGTGATGTACATGGATTCAGTAGTTTGTAGTGCAGCTAGTGGCACAGTCTAAATCAGTCTCAGGGTTTGCAGCAGGAACAGAATTAACTCACCCAGGGCTTCTGCTTTCTGGGCCCTGTCCTTCTTAATGTTTGTGTTAATGAATTGCCTGATTTTGGCATGATCACAACTGACCCCTTGGAGCAGAAGACCTGTGTGTTTCTTGATGAGCTGGTTTGGATGTCCCTGTTATATATTGCTGTCCATCCCTAAATTTATTCTTTGAGCAGGTTTTAATTTCCAGATTTTTGGACATATGTCTGTAGTGCTTAAAAATGCATGTTCTCATAGTACTGCAATTTCAGATGTTAGATAAAAATCACTGTCTGATCAGAGCCATATGACTCCTTATAGCACTAAAATTCTCAGGAAAGGTGAGAGTACAGGTGCTTCCCATACGTCTTTTTCTGATACTCATGACCGCTGGTTGTAAAAAGGCACTGTTATTTTTCCAGAGTTCTTCAAAAATACAAAGCCCACACAGTCATTATGGCTAAGCTCCTGAGACAATTAGTAGTTTAGACAATTAATAGTTAGGACAATATTAACAAGGGGTGTTTTGTTATTGTGAGGATGTTTGACTGTAGAACTATTGCTCAGTTTTAAGCTTTTGCAGTCTGGTATTGTTTTATCAAAGCATACGGAAAATTATAGAGAAGAACATTTTAATTTCAATATTGTTTTTACTTAGTATGCTTATATAAAAATATTTTAGTAAGGACTCCAGGCTCAGTTAACTGGTACATTACAGTTGTTTAACTGTGTATTTTTACATCTAGTTTCTTCTTCGACTTAACGCAGAAGCAAATACTCTCTAAGATTCTTTTTTAGAAGTGAAAGTATCTCTGCTGTTACAGGTGATGCCTTCATAAGAAATGTGGGGCAGACAGCTGGGTCCATAAAATCTTCAGACATCTGAGTTTAGTCTTTGTGAAACCAACCCTTAGTTCAGATGTAAAAGCAGATTCTTAAGCCCTTGAGGTATAAGAATAGCTCACCTAAGTTAAGGGATGTCAGATAGATAGGGCAGGGCATCTGAATCAGACTCTGACCTCCTTAAACTAAAAAGATGACATTTTGGGGGAGGGGAAGAAAGGTTGTCAGAATGTCTTTTGGTTTCAGAGATGTTGTTTGTATACCACTACTTATATTTAGGGCTTTTTAAATATATATTAAAAAAAAAGAAAACTTGTTTGAAAGTTCTAAGTGCTTCCACCCTATCCAACTTTCTTGTGATTGTTGACTTTCTCTACTTCTGTTTTCTGCCACTTCTATGGTTGCAATTTTTTGTTCTTTCTTCATGAGGGAAATGTTCCAGGTTGAAAAACAGTAGGAGTATATACTGGCAAGTTAGCCTGCCATATGTACGCTTCGTTCTGTGTCCTTCATTGTTTATTCTGTCTTTCCCAGGGGTTGTATGAAGAAGCATTAATACAATTTGAAAAAATTGAGGATACAGATTTTCAAGCAATGTATCAGCTTGGTGTAATGCATTATGATGGGCTAGGCACTAAAGAAGACCCTGTGAGTAATCTGGCTGTACACTTTTTACTTTTAATATTAGCTGATAATTACTAAGAGCTTCTTTGTAAGCTTGATTATTTAGTTTAAAATAAACTGGTCTTTGATTTACAATTGATTTCATAAAGTACAGATGTTTACAAAGCGTCATTAAAGAGAGGGTTCTGGGCTGAAGAAGTTTTCACAAAAAGCTATAATACAACACGTTTATCTGAAAAATATGACAATTTGTATTTTAAAATACAACTTCTGAGGGTTTGGTTGTACTTTGTGTGGAAGCTATGTTTAAAAATTGCTATTAATTTGTTACTTTTTAATAAGCAGTGTATATAAATGAAAATAAAATGTGTAAAAATGGAAATCAAACAACTATATTTCAAAGTGTAAAACATCTGTTGCACAAAGATGTTTTTTACATGGATGCTAAAGAAGATTGTGCTTCTGCCAGTGGTGGGCAGTAATATTTTTAAATTAGACAAATGAAGAATTACATTTGCAAGAATTTGAAGAATTCAAATTGAAGATTTACGTTACAAAAAAGGAAGACAAAGGAATGACTTGCTACAATAAGAAGAGAAGAGTTAATTTATTGGAGAACATGATCTTAAAGAGTGGTATGAGGAAAGAATACAAATAGGACAAAAGGAAGGGTAGGTAACAAAACAGGAGGGGAAAAAAATGAACCAAACAGCGTATTAACAAAACAGACTCTTGTCTGGTGCTTAGAGGATTGTCAGCAAAGCAGAAAATATTCTGCTGGTTTTTAGAGGTGGTTCATTTGTTCTGTATGCCTGTATAATTACTACATTGGTTTACTTGCAAATAAACATTTTAGTAAAGTTTCTTTCTTTTTTGTGTATTACAATATGAAAGGTGAATAAAAGAGGAACCTTTCGCAAAGGACTGTTTCTAGTGTATTTAAACAGGGTGTCCATGCTAAATCCTAACAGTGTAAAACTTGTTTCTAAAATACTTTTGAGGTCCTTGGATGATACACTATACAGCTGCTCATATGCAATGTTCTCCGTTTGCTTATTTAACATTATCATTTTTTTGTCCATTATGAATCTAAGGTATTTTTAATGGAGTGTGCTGTTGTATCACTTTGCCTTCTGTTAAGGTTGTTCTGTGATTTCAGATACATTATGCAATATGAAAAAGTTTACAGAACTCTAAAATTGAAAATATAGCAAGTTTAGGATGTGACTTTCATTTATATAGGCACAAGAATATTTTTGAGAAAATGTTTATCAATGAAGAAGAGTAATACAATATCAGATGAACATTGATAGGGAAATGTTTCACATTAAAAATATGTTGGAGTCAAAAATCTAGGGGCTCTCTAGTAACCAAAGATCAGTTCTGCTTTGGTATAACACTGTTCTCCAGACTGTCCTGCCAGTACACCTCAGCCTTTCTTCAGTGTGGAAAAATTACCTGTCTTGCAGAAGTTAGTGGATTCTCAGACTCTTTATTTCATCCTCTTTGCAGTCTGAATGCAATAACTAAAATGTCTCAATTTTAGGAAAGGGGAGTGGAATACATGAAGAAAATACTCTACTCTGATTCCCTGGAAGCAAGACACTTGAAGTTTGCAGCTGCATACAATCTTGGCAGAGCGTATTATGAAGGATGTGGTGTTAAGCAGTCAACTAAAGAGGCTGAAAGGTAATAGCAGTCAGTAATTTTCCTAATAAATATAAGATGCTGTGTTACTTAAACTTTCTTTGTACCCATTTTCTTAGGTTGTGGCTTATTGCTGCAGACCATGGAAATCCAAAAGCAAGCGTAAAGGCCCAGAGTACTTTAGGAATGCTTTATTCTGTGTCAGTTCTAAAAGATCTGAAGAAGGTAAAGCCCACTTGTACCTTTTGAGTTTCATGAGTCGCAATTAATTTTGAATTTCACAGAAAGATTACAGTGATATATTTGACTCTGAAAGCTGTATTTTAAGTAAGTTCTGCTAGGCATTATCATCCATTTAAGCCTGTATGAACAGATGGCCAGAACCCCTCATTTTGACTCATTTGACACGACTAGCCAAGATTATTATTTTTTTTTTTTAGTGGGAGTATCAGTGAGAAGGATAGAATGGATTTAAGTTTTGTCAGCTTTGGTAACCTTCAGAAATCAAGCAGATGTTACTGATCGACATCTCTGACAGTAAATGAAGCAGGTTTAAAAGCCTCACAAGGATTCTGCTTTCTTTTATGTATAAACACTTCTTACAGGGTGGTTGATGTAAAAGCTTTTGTGGAAACAGTATGCAAGAAAAGCAGCTAAAGTAAATATATACTCCAACTTTATGCCTATTGTTTAGGCCTTTTTCTGGCATTCAGAAGCATGTGGCAATGGAAATCTGGAATCACAGGGAGCGCTTGGTGTTATGTATCTCTATGGACAAGGTATACGTCGAAACACTAAATCTGCTTTGGAGTGTTTGAGAGAAGCGGCAGAACGTGGAAACATCTATGCTCAAGGCCATCTTGTGGAATATTATTATAACAGAAAATTTTACTCAACAGCTGTTGCAGTAGCGAAAAGGTGAAGTTAATTTTGCTTTATTTTTTATTATGGTTCTTCATGTAAGACCACGTAACTCAGATTAAAATGATTGATAAATTCATGCTCTTGTCTCTCAAACTCAAGAGACATTTGAGAGAATGAATTACAAAACCTCATCTCTAAAGAGGGAATAGCGTATCACAGACAAAATTAATACTGTAAGGTTCTCAATTACTCAGTACACTTGAACTTTTCTTTCTGATCCTGTGAAGCAAAACAGCCTTGATCTAGAATCCCAAGTAGACCAAGTAGAAGCCCACAGGCAACCCTGCCTTCTTGTCTCCTCAGTCCACAATCTCCTCTAGGCTCCTGCCTTCACCATTCCCTTTTAAACCCCTACAGTCATAGAATACCAGGCTGGAAGAGACCTCAAGGATCATCTGGGCTAACCTGTCTCGACAAAAGCATGGTCTAGACAAGGTGGCCCAGCACCCTGTCCAGCCACATCTTAGAAGCGTCCAATGTTGGGGAATCCACCACTTCCCTGAGGAGATTATTCCAAAGGCTGACTGTTCTTGTGAAAAATTTTCCTCGTGTCCAATTAGAATGTCCCCAGGAGTAACTTGTACCCATTACCCCTTGTCTTTTCCATGTGACTCCTTGTAAAAAGGGAGTCTCCATCTTCTTTGTAGCCACCCTTTAAATATTGGAACGTGGTGGTAAGGTCTCCCCTAAGCCTTCTTTTCTCAAGGTTGAACAAGCCCAGTTCTCTCAGCCTTTCCTCATACGCCAGGCTTCCCAGGCCTTTGATCATCTTTGTGGCCTTCTCTGGACCATCTCCGGCCTGTCCACATCTTTCTTGTGTAGCAGGGACCAAAACTGAACACAGTATTCCATGTGTGGCCTGACAAGTGCTGAGTAGAGTGGGATAATGACTTCTTTATCTCTGCTGGTGATGCCCTTGTTGATGCAACCTGCATCCTG